CTTTTTCTCTGTTTTTCAGCTTACATAGTGTCTATTGATCTATCTTCAAATTTACTAATTCTTCCTCCAGTTCAAATCTGTTGTTGAGCCCATCTACTGTTTTTTATTTCCGTTATTGCACTTGTCAACTCCACATTTTTTTTTAATTTTATTTATTTATTTGTTAGAGAGAGAGCACAAGCAGAGGGAGTAGCAGAGGCAGAGGGAGAAGCAGGTTCCCTGCCGAGCAGGGAGCCCGATGTGGGACTCAATCCCAGGTCCTCAGGATCATGACCTGAGCCAAAGGCAGACGCTTAACCAACTGAGTCACCCATGCTTCCCCAACTCCACATTTGGCTCTTTTAAAATAATTTCTCTTTATTGATATTCTCTATCTGACATGACATTGTCATATCTCTTCTACCAATTTTCCTTTAGTTTGTTGAACATATTTATAATGGCTACTTGAAGTCTCTCTTAAATCCAACAGTAGTCAATCTCATAGGAGTTTCTATTTGTTTTTTTTTCTCAGTGTCTAGGTCATACTTCCCTGTTTCTTTTCACACCTCATAATTTTTGGCTGGAAACTGCTACATTTTAGATAGTAAGTTTCCTCAGTTCAGTGTATTGGTCTTTCCTCCTCCTCCCTTTGGGTCTTGTTACTATTATTTGCTTATTTGTTTAGTGACTTGCTGGATTATTTTAGTGATATCTATGTCCCCATACACATAGTGTGAAGCTTCTGTTATTCCTTCTTAGGGAGGCATAACTTTGGGTATGCCAACAGTCATCCTGGAATGACAGTCATATTGGTAGAGCTATCTTCCTCTGAAATAGATATTCTTTTTTTTTAAAAGATTTTATTTATTTGAGTGAGAGAGTGTATGTGAGCGAGAAAGAGAGAGCATGAGCAGGGGAGAGGGGCAGAGGGAGAAGCAGACGTCCTGCTGAGTGTGGAGCCCAATGCAGACTTGATCCCAGGACCCCAGGATCATAACCTGAGCCAAAGGCAGACGCCAAACCAACTGAGCCACCCAGGTGTTCCTGAAATAGATAATCTTAATAACTCTTATATTAATAGTAAAATAAAAATTATACTTAAAGACATTTCTATAAAAAAAAAAACACAGACCCTGATGACTTCACTGGTTAATTCTATTAAACATTTTTTGCAAGAAATATTAGCAATTTTAATCAAAGTATTTTGGATGGAATTTAAAAGAGGAAGGAAGTGCGCCTGGGTGGCTCAGTTGGTTAAGCGACTGCCTTCGGCTCAGGTCATGATCCTGGAGTCCCGGGATCGAGTCCCGCATCGGGCTTCCTGCTCATCAGGGAGTCTGCTTCTCCCTCTGACCCTCTTCCCTCTCGTGCTTTCTATCTCTCATTCTCTCTCTCTCTCTCAAATAAATAAATAAAATCTTTAAAAAAAAGAAAATAAAAAAATAAATAAAAGAGGAAGGAACACTTATCAACTAATTCTGTAAGGCTAGAGTTAAATGATAACAAAACTAAGATATTACAAGAAAAGTAAAATCTATAGACCAATATCCCTCATGAATGTAAATGCCAAAATTCTTAACAAAATATCTGCAATTCATGTCCAGTAATATATAAAAAGGATTAAATTGGCAGGAATTCAAGGTTGACTTAACATTTGAAAATCAATTAATGTAATTCACCAAATTAATAGACTATAAAACTATATAATCTCCAATAGATGCAGACAAAATTCAGCACTTATTTGTGATAAAAGCTCTCAAAAATTAGGAATAGAAGGGAAAATCCTCAACCTAAAGAAGGACCTAAAACACAAAAGCCAGCATTATACTTAATGATCAAAAACTGAATGCCTTTCCTCTAAGATCAGTGATATATAAAGATGTTTGTTCTCACTTCTTCTGTTCATCACTGCATTAGAAGTATTAATGTAATAAGGAAAATACAGATTGGAAACAAAGTATTTTTATTTGCAGTCAGTATGTTGGTTTTAGAAAATCTTTTTTTTTTTTTTAATGATTCTATTTATTTTGACAGAGAGAGAGACACAGCGAGAGAGGGAACACAAGCAGGGGGAGTGGGAGAGGGAGAAGCGGGCTTCCCACTGAGCAAAGAGCTCGACATGGAGCTCGATCCCAGGACCCTGGGATCATGACCTGAGCCGAAGGCAGATGCCTAACAACTGAGCCACCCAGGCGCCCTGGTCTTAGAAAATCTTAAAGAATATACCTATACACACTAATAGCTATCAGATCTAATAAGTGAGTTCAGCAAGTTGCTGGTAAAAAGCTAATATGGAAAAATCAATTTTATTTCTATGTATCAGCAACAAGCCATTGTAAATTGAATTTTCAAATACCATCAAAAATATAAAGAGATAAATATAACAATTTGCATAATACCTGTACACTTTAAGCTTTAAATATTGCCCAGAGCAATTTTAAAAGACTTAAGTAGAGATATCATGTTCATGAATTTGAAGATGGAATATTAAGATGGCATTTCTCCCCAAATTGATATATATTTTCAACAGAAGCCCAAACAAAATCCTAGCAATTTTTTAGATAGAAAATAAGTTAATTCTAAAATTCATGTGAAAATTCAAAAGACTTAGAACATCCAAAACATATATGAAAAAGAACAAAGGTGGAGGTCATGCAAATTCAAACCATAACATACTCTCCAGAGTAACAAAAAAGTGTTGCCAAAAATGTAGGGCAACTAGAATTCTCGTACGTTGCTTGTGGGAATGTAACTTGGTAAAACCAATTTGCAAAAAATTTGACATTATCTATTGAAGTTGAACTTATGTCTTTTTTACTGCCACAATAATGCTGCATAATAAACCACCTCAAATTCAGTGGCTTAGGACAACAGCATTAATTCTCATGCTCATCAATCTTCAGGAGGTCTGACATTCTGTGAATCTAAGGTGGGTTTATGCCACAGGTTAGATTCACATCTTCTCCACATATGTTTGTTCTGAAGGCCCAGGCTGAAGGGGCACAGCTATTTGAGACATGGTCTCCTTGTGCACAGCAACTGAACTCAAGAGTCAAATGATCTACATATGAATACTTAAGATTCCTGTTCCTATCATGTCTGCTAATATTCTATCAGCCAAAAATATTCACATGACCAACCAAGAGCAGTATCAATGGAATAGAGAAGTAAATTTGGCCAACAGCAGAAGGGGGAGAGAATAAATCATTGCTGAAACAATTCCAAATTATCATGTCCAGTGTGGTATACACCCAATAGAAATGATGCACATGTGTACCAAGAGACATGAATAAGAATGTTCAGGCAGAATTTTTGTAATAGCCAAACTGGCAACAATCCAAATGTCTATCAACAGTACAATGGACAGTGCCTGGCTGGCTCAGTCAGTAGAGCATGCAACTCTTTTTCTTTTTCTTTTTTTTAAGATTTTATTTATTTGAGGGGGGAGGGGCAGAGGGAGAAGCAGACTCTCCACCGAGCAGAGCCTGACACAGGGCTCGATCTCAGGACCCTGGGATTATGACCTGAGCTGAAGGCAGACACTTAGCCAAAGGAGCCACCCAGGCACCCCGAGCATGCAACTCTTAATCTCAGGGTCATGAGTTCAAGGCCCATGTTGGGCATGGTACCTACATTAAAAAACAAAAACAAACAAACAAAAAACATAGAATGGATAAAGAAAATGTGCTATAGTCACATCTACATATACAGCAATGAAAATGAAAAAGTACCCATGAAAACATGTCTCACTAACAATGTTACTCCAAAGAAACTAGGCACAAAATTATTCAATTTATATGAAATTCAAACCACAAGCAAAATTAAATGGTGAAGTTTAGGGATGCATGTTTAGGCAGCAAACCTAGTAAGAAAGTTAAGGGAGAGATTACCAAGGAAGTTAGATTTGTGGGTAGGTACTGATTGGGAGTTGACACACTTCTGGAGTTTGGGCAATGTTCTATTTCTTGACCATGGTAGTCATTTCATGAATATTTGCTTTGTGATAAACCAGGGAGTTGTACATTTTGCTTTTGCGTGCTTTAAAAATAAGTAATATTTTGTTGTTTCTACACCCAACCCTCTTCAGTTTTTGAACACACCTAGTTTCACTTCTAGGGACTTTGCATTTGCTTTGCCTTCCGCTTGGAAAGCTCTTCCTCCACATCTTCCAAGGACTGGTTTGGTCTGCTTTTACTATTGAGATTTGACTTCAAATGTCCCTTATTCAGTGAGATCTGGCAGCTCTGTCTCTTTTGCCCCTGGCCTCCATCCTCCAACCCCATTCTCCAGCATTTCCAGCTTGCTTTTACAGCTGTATTGTTAAATGAAATTCTATTTTTATTGTTGTGGTGGTTTACTTGTTAGTGTTTGGTACCCATTTCTAGAGTGAGTTCTATTACATGCAGGGGGCTTGTCTGGCTTGTTCACAACTGTAACCCTACTGCTTACTTTAGTAGCTAGCCAGGGGAAACAGTAAAAGGTGCTACCGAATGAATAAATCCTCCATTCCCAGCATGTGGCACATGCCCGGTTCATGGTAAGTGCATGCAATACTTAATCTCTCATTTGTAGAATTAATGCCATATGTGGTCCCTTAGCTCTCTCTGCATAGATTGTAAATTTCTGGAGGTGTTTTCCTAGGGAATGAACACTTAAATACACGTATGAAAATGGAAAAAAAAAAAATCAAAATGGAGTCAAGAAGCAATGAAGGGTGCTCAGTAAGCACCAGACCTGGAAGCTTACCTTATATACCCCGGCAGGAAGACTTTTCTCCTTGCTGGCAACAACCCAGCCAATGAGAAGCCACCACAACCCCGGACTCTGGCTCTCCTCCAGTGAATTGTCACAACCTCTCCCAACTTCCTCCTTTGTTCTATAAAAGGACACTTTGCCCCTTTTTAATTTGGGCTTGCCTGTGGATCAGTATACTCTGCACGTCTCGAACTACAGTTCCTCTGTTTATAAGCAAGCCTGGTAACATTACTGGCAGTTCTATTTTTAAGGTTAACACTCTTTTATTTTTAAAGAATTCACTAAAAAGATTTTATTAATGTCACTTTGGGCAAGACAAGTGTCACCACCGCACCTTCAGGAGATATAATGGGAGACAAACACCACAGCCCCGAGCGAGCCAGCTGCTAGAACCAACGCAGACACGTCACGGCAGCCGGACATCTTCCCCTGCACGTCTTCCGCATCCGGCCACGCACGAACCCCTGGAGACCCAGGCTTTACTTCGCCCCGCCCTCAGCTGAGCAAGCCAGACTCCATCCTCCAATCCCCGGGCGCGCTGCAGTCTTGCGCCTGCGCACAGGAGAGAAACGAGCGCCGCGTGGACGCCGGCCGCACTCCGCGCCGGCGCATTGGCTTCTCCTCAGTGATTGGCTCCCGCCGTTCGCCACGGTTCAGTTTTCACTTTCTCTTTCCCCCCCCCCGCCCCCCAACCTCTCCTTTTCCCGAGGCCAGAGGTTTTACTTCCGGTTTTCTGCCGCCGTACCTCAGATAATCGACATGTTCTCTCAGGCCGGGGCGCGTCTTGCGGAACGTTCCTTCCTATGACCCTGCGGGAGAAGAACGACTTTTGGCTTACAGGCGCGGTGGTGCCTGCGGGCTGGGAGCCTGGGCGCCAGGCCCGCGTGCCCAGCACCGGCGTCTCGGGGCCGCCGGGCACTGCCCGGGCGGCGCTGCGGGCGCTGCCGGCACCAGGGCGGAGAGGAAGCCCAGGCTGCGACGTGGAGTGTCCTGCGCGTCCCTGAAGAGTCGGTGCAGACAGCGCCGAGGGCTCCCGCTGGAGAGCCCGGGAGCGAAGAGTCGCGAAGGCGCCTCGAGGGCTCCCTGGTCCGGGAGAGGGCGGAGCGCGGCGGGTGACTACTAGGGTCCGGACGTACCTGTCACGTTTGGCCGCGGGGACCGAGAGGGAGGAAGTGCATGTGGGGAGAAGCGGACGCCCATAAGCATGAGGAAGAAATTGAACAGTAACCTCAAATCCTCGGGGGCGGCGGCCGCCCGGGAGACAGGTAAACCTTCCCCGCGGTGGGCGCTACCGTTTGTGCACCTGGAGGGGGGAAAGGAACAGCCCCCGCCTCCGAGGCTGAGGGCGCGGCGTAGCTGCTTGGGCTTTTGTTGTCGTCTGCTGGGGGCTGCGCTGCTGTCATGCGCAAAATTGCTTAAATTCCGAAGGACATTGCATGCTTTCCTTGGATGGTGCGTGACTAACGCTCTCTTGCCTGTTTGCTGTGCTCTCGGGTGAAGGGGCGGGAGGGGGGCGGTGGTTTGCAGAATCGTTTTTGCCGTGCTGCTGTTCGGATGAGTCGGCCTGTTTTAACCTGTGGCCATTCTCGGCAGTGCTAACGCTTCCCCCCGACTTGATTTTGACACGTCCGTGTAGAGCTTCGGAACCCATCCTTGCCCCCTGAGGCAGGACGTCCAGAACTGTTGAGGCGTTGCCTTTGAGTTGCTTGTCAGAGGACAGCTTCACGCTCGCGCAAGCCACAATGCGTACTTCAAGCTTTGCTCATGTGCTTTGCACTAGCTGTTAAGTAGTGTGTAAAGGCTTCTGTATGAAGTCTGCGCCTCGGGTCTCCCTGTCGTGAATCCACGGCGGTGCGTGACCTTTTCTCTTTTAAAGGAGTTCTGGAAGGAAAGGGTCTATCCCTAGGGAGGGTCATGTAGCAGAAAGCTCAAGTAGTGCCCAAGGAATGTCGTAGTTATGTTGGTCCATGCAGCCCAGCAGTTTATCTGAAGGTGGCACCCAGCAGCAGGTTGTAGGGGAACAGGGCAGGTTAGCCTCAAAACTTGAGGAAGACAACTTCGAAAATCCTCTAGTTTCATTTAGGACTTGTCTATTTGAAATCCAAAAATGTAAATACACCTGTCTTACCTTTGTTTTCGCTGTAAGGCAGTTAGAAATGGTAGGGTTTATGAGAGGATATTTACTGTAAACTGAAGTGTTGAGCGAGTGTATGATGTTACTCTAACATTAGTGATCAAAGGGCCCACGGTGTTTTCCTGGAGAAGCTTTAGAAGGGAAAAAGGGTGTGATATGTAAATTTATAGGATCCGAGATTGGTAGTGAGCCTACTCAGGAGATTTATTACAAAGCGGATACTCTTTTACAGTGTAAGAATATTTTCTGTTGAAAAACTGTCTTCCAGAACTGGGGAGCGCCATGCAGTGTGTTGAGCACAGCAGTAAATAACCCAGACGAGAGAGAAGTAAAAAGTGACAGAGTGTACATAATTCTTTTAGGGAAGACCAAGAACAGTGTTTAAAATGTGAGGTTTTCAGGACATTGACGCAAATGTAACCAGTTCTCTTTAAAAAGAACTGTATTATACTCCAAACATAGTTGCTTAAATGAATTAAAATCCCCAAAGTGCCTAAAAACTTGCCTGAGACAGTGTTTAACAAATGTAGTATGATATCTGCTTAGTATGATTAAGTAGGTATGGTATCTTTATCAAATGAGTCTTTCATTTTTGCTGGAAATTTATTTTCAAGTTTTCCCCTATAACAATGATAGTATTCCTGCAGAGTTGATTCTCTATGAGAATGCTGGATAATAATGCTGTGAAATTGTCCTCAAATATCATACCCTTTAATAAAATCCACTCTCAGACGGTATGCTTTATCTGCCTGTTAGCCAGCACTGGATGATAACAGTATTTCTTTAACATCTTACTAATTTTTCTAATAACTGAAAGTAACTTCTCATTTTAATTTTTATCTCCTGGGTGATAAAAAAAAAAATCTTGGCTGGGTCATATCCTTTGCTTTTTTTTTTTTTTTTTAATTGGGTTCTGAACTCTTCTTTGACCCATTTACCTATTACCACACCGTTTTAATTATTGTACCTTTATAATATATCTTGTTACTTTCTTTTGAAAAAAGCTTTGGGCATTTTTTGCATTTTTCTTCCAGATGATGTTTAGAACCATCTTTCCAAGTTCTATAGAAAATCATGTTGGGATATTGTTTGTGATTGCATTGAATTTATAGATTAATTTGAGAAGAGACATTCTTTTGAGTTTTTCCTTCTAGGATAGTAGGTATGTCCCTTTGTTTCTTCTATTAAAGTTTTTGTTGTGAAGTATACTATTGATATGTACTGTTGTTGTTATGTTGTTGTTGTTGTTTTCAGTGTATCTGTGTACCTGGCTTAAAAGGACATCTAAGTGCCTTAGAAGCTTTATTGTGTCCTCTCCCCAGAAGCAGTGTATTGCCGCCACCATCACCATGGTCATCCTGAATTTTGTGTTAATTATTCCCTTACCTTTCTGTATAGTTTTATCACATATATATATTTTTTAATCAACCCGTTTGTTTACTTTCACCTGTTTTTGAGCTTTATCTGTGAGTTACTTAAACATTATGTTTGAGATTCATCATTGTTGAAGCATGTACCTGTAGTTCAGCATTTCAGAAACTGGTCTCATGACTCCCTTTATGATTTTAAAAACTACTGAGGACCCTAAAGATCTTTTGTTTATGGGAATTATGTCATTAGATACTAAAACTGATTCATTTAAAGTATGTTAGGTATGGCATTTATTGGTGTATTTATTGGTACCTCTAAAAAATAACGTTACATCTTAATATAAATAACATTTTAATGAAAAAACTTTTCCAAAAAAATTATTGACAAGGGGCATTGTTTTTACATTTTCACAAATATCTTTAATGACTCAGTTTCATGTCTGCTTCTTCAGTGTGTTGCAATATGTTGTTTGGGTTGAAAGTATATGAAGAAAATCCAGACTCATCTGTGTATTTAGAAAAGGGAGGAATGTTTTATAAACTTTTAAGATAGGTTTTGATGAATATCAAAGAAAAATAAAACTAACAGTTTTTTTTTTATTTTTTAAAGATTTTACTTATTTATTTAATTGACAGAGGGAGAGACAGCAAGAGAGGGAACACAAGCAGGGGGAGTGGGAGAGGGAGAAGCGGGCTTCCTGCCGAGCAGGGAGCCCGATGCAGGGCTCGATCCCAGGACCCTGGGATCATGACCTGAGCCGAAGGCAGTCGCTTAACCAACTGAGCCACCCAGGCGCCCAAAACTAACAGTTTCTTTAAAGGTTAACTGCAGTGTAAAATTTGAAGCCATGTCAGTGAACTTCTCAAATTCTGTGACGTGAGAACCCGTTGGTCTATCTTGCATTTTGAAGGGATCTTTCATCCACACATTGGTCATGCCGTAGATATTAATTCTCTGAGTTCTCTAGATCTCTCAGATAATGACACATTTCAGTAGAGATAAAAACCCACCTAAGCACCATCACCACTTTGGGAATCACTGCTATAATTCATTCATTTTCATTGAAGTATAATGGTCTACTCTAAGAATATATTATAATTGGATTATATAATTAGCTGTTTTATTCTTTATGAACAAACATCCTGGTTATTTCCAAGACGGGGCTGTTATAATTAGTGCTGCCAAAATGTTCTTGTTCATCCTCAAGTGCATATATATGATACTCTTGCTTGGGCATATTAGTAGTAGAATTGCTGGATCCATTGGGAAGATATGTGCATGTTTGATTTCATTAGATAATGTATAACTTTTCCCAGATGGTAGTTGTGATTTATACACCACTAATTTTGAATGAAACCTCTCATTGTCTCACATTCTCTCCATGTATGGCATTGTTCAGCTTTTTACTTTTTGCTGGTCTGGTGGAAATGATATGTGGCTTTCACCTGCATTTCTGTGATTACATAAAAGAAGTAAAACGTTTATTTTTTTCTGTGTAATGTTGAGTCATGTTTTTGCCACTTTTTCTGTTGGGTACTTGTTTTATTTATAGGTATGAATTTTTAAAAAATGTTACATATACAAGTTGAACTCTTCCTGTTGCTTAAAAAAATTACTAGAATAATTTATGTAAACAATTAAAAAATGTGCAAAGACCATACAAAGAAAAATCTTTTCTTTCCTGTACGTATCCAACTCATTCCCCAGTGTTTGTTCTTATATTCCTCTTAATCTGATTTGTGCTATGCTACGTTTTTTTCTCCATTTATCAGTATATGCAGGAATCAGTATATGCACACATATACATACATACAAATACAAATCAATATAAAGGTAGCATGCTTATTCTACAGCATAGGAAAACAATTTCTCATTGTGTGGCTGTACCAGTTTATTTAACTAGTCTGTAGTAGATAATTAGTTTCTGGTCTTTTGCTGTTAAAAATAATGGTGCATGGAGTAATTTTGTAGAGTTGTCATTTTGTATGTGAGCAGGTATTTCTAGTACTATTAATTCTAGAACTCTGATTACTGGGTTAAAGGTTAAATGCCTTTGAAATTTTGAGAAATATTGCCAAACTGCTTTTTCTTGGGATTTTGCATGGTTACTTGCAATATACTGCAGTGACTGTTTTCCTAAAGCCCCCCTCACAGTATGCATTGCTCAACTTGTGTGCTTTGGTAGTTTGATAAATCAGTTTACAGATAATTATGACTGAGTTTGAGCATCTTTTCATATGTTTAGAGGCCTTTTTTTCTCCCTTTGTACTGTTCATATCCCTTGTCCATTTTTGTTCTTTAT